TACCGTCAAGCTGAAGAAAGAATCCTATAGGGTCTTTTTGGCCTGTGGGTCTCCAGAGGCAGCTGATGGGTACCAGCAGGCCAAGCGGAATGCAACCCGGGTGGTCACAGAGGCAAAAACCCGGGCATGGGAGGAGTTCGGTGAGACCATGGAACAAGACTTCCGTACAGCTTCGAGGAGATTCTGGTACACCATCCAGCACCTCAGTAGGGGAAAGCAGTGTACTAACAACACTGTTTATAATGGAGACAGTGTGTTGCTGACCTCAACTTGGGACGTTGTGGATCGGTGGGCAGAATTCTTCTAAGGCCTCCTCATTGTCACCGGCACGTCTTCCAGTGAGGAAGCAGATTCCAGGGACTTTGGGTTGGGATCTCCAATCTCTGATGCTGAGATCAATGAGGTTGTCAAAAAGCTCCTCAGTGGCAAGGCCCCGGGGGTGGATGAGATTTGCCCAGAGTTCCTTAAGGTTTTGGATGTTGTAGGACTGTGTTGGCTGACGTGGCTCTGCAATATCACAAGGACATCATGGGCAATTCCACTGAACTGGCAGACCAGGGTGGTGGTCCCCCTATTTAAAAAGGGGGACCGCAGAGTGTGTTCCAACTACAGGGGGATCACACTTATGAGCCTCCCTAGCAAAGTCCATTCCGGTGATCTGAAGAGGAGGGTCCAGCAGAGTGTCGAACCTCGGATTCAGGAAGAGAAATTTGGTTTTTGTCCTGGCCGTGGAACACTGGACCAGCTCTATGCCCTTTGGATGGTCCTACAGGGTGCGTGGGAGTTTGCCCTACCAATCAACAATTTTTTTTGTAGATTTGGAGAAGGCGTTTGATTGTGTCCTCGGGGGGCCCTCTGGGGGGTACTTCAGGAGTTTGGGGTACCAGGCCCTCTGATGCAGGCTGTTAGGTCCCTGTATGGCTGGTGTCAGAACTTGTTCCTCATTGCCGGCAGTAAGTCTAGCTTGTTTCCGGTGAGAGTTGGACTCTGCCAAGGCTGCCCTTTGTCACCAATTCTAGGCACAGCCAAGGTGTTGAGGGGATCTGTTTTGGTAGCCTAAGGATTAAGTCTATGCTTTTTGCAGTTGCTGTCGTCCTGTTGGCTTCATCAGAACATGATCTCCGGCTCTCATTGGAGCAGTTCACAGCCAAGTGTGAAGCAGCTGGGATGAGAATCAGCTCCTCTAAATCCGAGACCATGATCTTGAGTCGTAAAAGGGTAGAATGCCTTCTCCAGGGTCAGGGACAAGGTCCTGCCCCAAGTGGAGGAGTTTAAGTATCTCGAGGTCTTGTTCACGAGTGAGGGAAAGATGAAGCGTGAGATCGACAGGCAAATTGGTGCTGTGTCTGCAGTCCTGCGGGCATTGCACCAATCTGTCATGGTGAAGAGAGAGCTGAGCCAGAAGGCAAAGCTCTCGATTTACTGGTCGATCTACATTCCTACCCTCAAATATAATCACGAGCTTTGGGTAGTGACCATAAGAAGCAGCCCAAATTAGTTTTCTCCGAAGGGTGGCTGGGCTCTCCCTTTAGAGATAGGATGAGAAGCTCGATCATCCAGGAGGGGCTCAGGATAGACCTGCTGCTCCTCCATATCAAGGGGAGCCAGTAGAGGTGGCTTGGGCATCTGGTAAGGATGCCTCCTGGATGCCTCCCTGGTGAGGTTTTCCGGGCATGTCCAACAGAGAGAAGGCCTAAAGGAAGACCCTGCACATGCTGGAGGGACTATGTCTCACGGCTGGTCAAGGAATGCCAGAAGCCTGATTCATGCTTCTCCATCTGCGTCAGTGCAGAGACACACAACACCATTATCCGTCCTCGCGGGCCTGCTGGAGAGCTCCACAAGGACGAACGGAGTCGAGCTCTCTTTTCTAAACATTCGTCCGTCGAGACGGACAATGCAAGCTTGTGATTGGTCAGGACGCCTCTGTTGTTTACACCGCCGCCATTGCACCCTCAAAAACATAAAGAGAGCCAAGGATAAATAGTGGCAAACATGGAGCAGCTTGAAGAATACCTCGCAAAAAAACTCTGAAAACATAAACATTTAATTCCTCGTGACTGGAGGAGTGAAAAGATGTGCAGCAAGCGTTTTATTTGTGGACGGAAATGACAGGAAACGTGGGTTTAGAGGTGGCGAGCACATGAAGAGTTGGAGGTGTAAGGTTATGAAGTTCATTGTTTTCAACTACATACAGCTGCCCCCTGGGCACAATAACACCGTGTAGAAAAACCAAGGTCGGGTGTTCCTCAGACTGTTTACATTCCAGGAGAAGAGTCCGAAGGAGAAGAAGAAACTTTACTTAATCAAAGTACTTTATTTGTGATTAAAATTATTAAGCAAAACAGATGTTGATCAACAATAATCAAGTGAATGATCTGTGAAATAAATATGTCATGAATTATGTTTAATGAAACCAGGACTACGGCACAGACATAATGATCCTCATCTCCATAGAAACGCATGACACATTGTTCCAACCAATCAGAGCTTTCGGCTGCCGCAGGAGAATCTGGTGTTGACTTCAAATGTCCAATCTACTTTACTCCAACTTATCAACAATTCAGAGATTTAAAACAAGGCAACGCCATTTTAGGTCCGTTCCATTTTGACTTCAGTTCCATTCACCATCATCCTAAAGAAAAGCGCAGCCTAGCCAGATGTGTTTTCTTTAAACTAAGAACTGTGAAACGGGAGATTTTCGTCGTTTAACAACCAGACGACATCCTTTCAAAATAAGAGCACCTGCTGACGCCGCTGAACGGTACCGGGGTCGACCCTCCAGACGGGCTTTGAAACGTTGTGATCGCTGCACCGACAGCTCCATCGTACATCCGAGGTTTCCAGACCTGGCATTTCCTGATCTACCTGGGAGACCCCCACTGGGTACGTACACGGCAAAATAGCGGCTCATGTCATCACTTTATAAGCCTCGTGATATCTAGTCATAACAAAGACGACCAGATTCGATTACGTCAGCCTAGAGAATCTGAACCAGACACACACACACACACACACACACGCACCAACACAACATCCGAATCCATTCTCATCCATCACAGAGTAGTCCTGGTAGATTGTTTAGAATTTATAATTCAGAAATTAAAGATTCTCAAACGATCCCATCTCTCTCTTTTCTTGTCTCAAAGTCAATACAGAGTGTTTAATTAAACTCCCTGATGATAAAAACAGCCTATTCTTCTGTTTATAAAAGTGAACTACTAACAGTGTATTAAAATACAACTTTAGATAGTTACATCACTTTGTTTCCGTTACAGAGGAAAATGAGAGACAAATTTGTCTGTGTTAAAAAGTCTCTTATTTACAAAAAACACACAATATAAACACACTATCTTGGACCGGATACATGACAGGATACCACAGAACAGCGCTACGCCCTCTGTTGTCCTGGTGGGGAATTGCTTTGCAACACTCTCCAGGAGATGGAGAAGTATGAGGGCAAAACATCTCCGTCCGTGCGTGCGTGTCTGTCTCTTTTGGAGCTGACGGAGAAGCATGAATCAGGCATTAGGATTCCCCCGGGGGAGCTGGTCCAAGTGGCGGGGAAGAGGGAAGTCTGGGCCTCCCTGCTTAGGCTACTGCCCCCACGACCCGACCCTGGATAAGCGGCCGAAAATCGATGGAGGGATGGATGGATGGCTGAGTGCGAAACTATGCCTTTTTACAGGTGGAAGTGTTAGTGCATGATGAAGATGGAGAGGAGTGCATGATGAAGATGGAGAGGATTGACATTCAGTTAATTCCATTGAGAAAATGTTATACCAATTGTAGTTTTCTGGCTTTGTAGTTTCCGGATCTGCTCGGCTATGGCGTCATCATACTATGACAATACCACTTGGCCAAAATATATTCTGATTCTGTTCTTTCACACATGTTTTTAAAAAAGACTTCAGCAGTTTTGTTATCAAACTCATGTTTCTTACATCCTAAATGTCTTAGAACATGGTAACATAACTTCCATAAGTCATACGTCCAGCCAATCATCTATGGGCTGCATGGTGGCGCAGTTGTTAGCACTGTTGCCTCGCAGCACGAAGGTTGCAGGTTCGAAACTCGGCTGCGGCCTTTCTGCGTGGAGTTGCGTGTTCTCCCCATGCATGCGTGGGTTTCCTCCGGGTACTCCGGTTTCCCCCACAGATCACAACATGCCCTATAGGTTATAAATTGTAAGTCGCTTTGGATAAAAGCGTCTGCCAAATAAATAAACATAAACATAGTGTGATGTCCTTGACAGGCGCAGTACCCCAAGCCGGCCAGAAGATATGGTGTCTATTATGGCATCCCCAAAGACAATAGTCCCGTGCCCTATGCACTTTTTTGGGGTTATATATTACAAAGTTGCCAATATTTTTCAACAAATGGACATCATTTTATTCATTTTCAACATTTCGATGGATATTTTTACAGAACGGTAAAAACTACACATTGTCACTTTAAAGGGTTTTGATTTGGTGTTTCTTTTGATCTTAAGGCTTGCAGTTGTGAGAAAAGCACCTTCTCCTCTGGGAGCTCTGGGTAAGTCACACACAACATACTTTTACTTTGAAGTTGAACCAATTGCAAATGAGCCAGGAGTCCTAATAAATGTAAAATAAAGACACAATTCACCCTCATAATTCACCTCACACGGGGACGGGGTTTGGTACAGCTTTTTAAAGACTCTTAGTACTGGGGATTCCTGGTAAGCTGCTTGTACTTTGAAGCTAATTCCAAGTAGAGCAGTTTCACAGAGCTCTGAATGCAGATCCTGAAAGCCACAGCTGTGATTTCCTTCTTCTGATCATAATCCTGCTGGTGTCCATGTGCATGAAGCAGCAGGTAAGAGTCCCCACCTGAGCCACACTGAACTCTGCTGTCAGATCCTAACAAAACACACAGACCCTGCTGTAGCCCCAAACCACGAGGCTAGCAGTCATGCACAGAGACGTGCACCAACGTGCTTCTGAAACCAACATTTCTTGGCGGACCTAAAGCTGCATTCCGCCCCACCCCTCGCAAACATCATCACCGCCACTGCACCTCAATCAGGAAGCGCGGATGCGTTGTTTTCATTCTTATTTGTTTTTATTTTAGACACAGAGACACTTTGCTGAACGTAGCGAATCAGAAAGAGGCGGAAAAGGCGATAATTTCGAGGCTGTAAACAGTGTTGAAATCTGCTGAAAGAAGACTGTCAGTGTGTTACATCCAGTCCAGGATCCGCTGCTGTGGATGCATTTGACACAGACTAACCGGAGAAGAAGGGTACGTGCACATTCAAACTCATCATATAAACACACACGCACGCACCAACGGTGGGTACGGTACTGCTGCTTTATTGTGGATTTATTTTCACGTCCGGAGGTTACGTGGTGTAACCATAGTAAACATGTTATCCACGTCGACTTGTTTACACTCGCTGCATATCAGAAACCTGCCTCGAAAACGTGATTTATTAATGTATTTCTTCTAAATCTCCCCCTCCGCAAGTCCAAAGTCGGTCCAACACGGACCAAAAGTATGAGTTTCTTCGTTTGTCACGCTCGTAAAAGTGTGTCACAGCGATTTGTCATGTGCTTTTAACAGTTTCGCCCCCACCAAACTCATTACTGCCAACCCCCTTTACGCACCGAACTCCATTGAAATTTCTCTAAGTTTAAGGGTTATTTGCGCTCTTGCATTGTTAACGGACTTGATAGAACAGTGTTGGCACCAGTGACAATAATTACACAGTTTTCTTTATTTCGGCATAATATAAATCAGTAATAAATGGTTTTAATGAAATTGATTTAAGTTTTTGCTAATTTATTACACTGGTTCTGCATACCGGAAATATGGATTGCCTTCGAAACCGGATACCTGCTAAAATAACAACTATTTACCTTAAACCTTTTATGAGATAGCTAATTTTACGGGCAGGTTATATGCCGAATTAACGAACATTATAAAACTTGTCTTTTAAATTATGAATTTCTGCAAGCTACGTTTTTAAGTCACATGCAAACGTTTGTCACACTTAAATAGGAGAAAACGAAGTTGAAGTTTGTACTTCAATACAGTTTAACAAGCAGTGGCTTCTTTGATCAAACAGTTATCAAGTATAATGAAATGTTTTTTTGTTAATTGTAATTATTCTGACTGTACTAAAACTTATGATTAATGTAAAGCTCGCTTTTCTATAGTTTTAGTGTTCAGGTTGTGTACAGCTGTTCTTTCCTTAAGGTTATTATTTGTTCAAGGTTGATCCTGTTTAACTTTAATCGGATGATAAATCGACCCGCAGTTTCTCAGGGTTCAGGTGAACTGACTGGAAAAGCCAGAGAAAATAAAAAATGACATCACCCTGCTTGTCTGTAGCAAGCTCCACTTGTCACCAAACTTAAACAAAAACACTCAGGGCCAGTAGCAGAAGTGGTAGAGGCTCTGTTGGCTGAAATAAACAAAACAAAAAGCACTGCAGCTGCTCGGTGTCCCTGTGACATATAAACGAGATTGGAGGTCATAACTGTGATTACTTGCTCTCTTGGAGTCTCTGCTTTGCACATGCTTTGAATAAAACACTCACTCACACACACACGCACGAGTAGGTGCTTTAGTCTGAACCGTACGGATTTATCAAACCCTCCTGCCCTGAGAGTCCTCCAGCCAGGGAATCCAGAGCAAGATAACCCCTGGCTCTGAATGATTCCAATTACATGCCGGATTAATCCTCACCCCCTTTACATGATGCAGTGCTCAGGGATCATTTTCATATCGCTCCAGCATGGTCAAATCAACATTGGGATCTGAAAGCACTACAGCTTTGATGCAAATGGGACTCTGTGGTACGTATCATGGAAAGTCAGGGCTCAGTGATATGACACATTTACAGTCTATGTCTATTCTGAAATCCTGGGATGAAACAAGCTGCATGTTATCCTGTGCGTGGTTTCACGATAAAATGATTATCTCCGAGACAAGAATGCATTCCACCAAATTCCTCAGGAGCCATGCAAAGGAAATGCAGAGATGTTTGCTCACTCTCACGAGTCTCACCTGACATTCCTCAGTGTTTATTACTACTACATGTGTCTTGTTTTTGTTTTGCTGAAATCTTTATCTGCTGTCAGAGTTTCATGTTTCATTAAATCTTGTTAAATTTACCACATTTCCATGCAACATCTGTGTTTTACAGGTGATAAACTGAGGTTAGGTAACTTCCGTGCTCTCTCAGTCTCAAACTTCCTCTCTTTTCTCACTTCCCCTCCGGTTTGCTCTTGGCTGACAGGCCAAGTTGTATTACCTGTTATATGAACACTAAACAGTGTTGTTTCCTTTAGCTGAAAGAGGGGCGAAGACAGCTCAGGGTGCTCCTCCGTCAGCCTACTTCATCATCTACCCTGGCGTCATGACCAGTAGTGTGTTAAAGCACCCACATCTGCCCGTTTACATATTCTAAGATTCTATTTTGAGTGCAGAGACATTTATATAGGTTGTGTAAAATGTTATAATTGCTCATATTCTAATTTTCTGCCCCTGTTATTGTTCCTGTCTCTTTAAAGGCTTATCTCCAAGAACAACCAGTCTGCTCCGATTGCTCATTTGTTTAGTCTAAAAGAGTCAAGTATGAGGAAGCTTCTTACTTTGCATTTAAAACAAACCATATTATCCACTACACAGGTATTTTTTTTAATATCATGCTATTGCTTTTAACAGATTTTTGGCCTGAAAAACTTTGAATCTGGCAACACCATCTACTTTGAAGGCTTTAAATCCCCCCTCCCAGTACTAAGGGTAGACCGATATATCATTGGGCTGATATTAACTGGTTTTTGTACATTGGCATTGGCCGATATTTGTCTTTAGTAAAGCCGATTTAAAGTCAGGCACATCCTCGGGCAGCCTGATGCTGTTCTAGAATTTAATTTAAATGTACTTTTACATATACTAGTAACATCTGCATAATAAATACTCTAAATTAACTTTTTTTAGGCGTCTGACTTTAACACTGAGCAGTGGGCAAAATTAAGATTTGACAGTTGGTTAAGTTCTGAGTTCAAAAACAGATTCAGCTTCAGAAATGTGCATCAACTGATGTTATTGGTGACAGCTGAGCTTGGCATTAAGATAAGGTGGAAAATGTCTAAATCAGCAGTATCGCCTGACGATGTCTCCTACTTATTTGCATCGGTATTAGAAAAGCCAACATTGGTCGACCTCCATCCAGTACAGATTCAACAGTAAATTATTTTAAAATTTATGCTAACCACAGGATATTTAAACATGGCAAACACTAAAACCAGTAACAATTTCATTTCTGATTTCAAGTACAACCAATTCACAGCTTGAATTGATGATGAAACATTTGGTCAATCAGATGTACTCTTACTGACCTCGATGCTCAGACATGATGGCGGCTGAGAGGTTAAAACACAAAGATGCATTACTGGAAGAAAAAGAGAAAAATGAGGACATTTTGGCTTTCAGGTTTAGACTGTCATAATATTCAGTAGCTTGTAAGTGTGTTTCCCCCCTAATTTCATGCATTTCTTGTGATAAAGTAAAGCAAATGGAGAAATATCTGAACAGCAGCTCTGGTAGTTCAGGAGAGCTGTGGGTGAAAATGGCTCTTTATCAACTCAGGGCAAGAACGAAAGCTAATATATCTTATTTATTATGTCTGCAGATACAAATCAGAAGCCTATATTGGGGTTTTAGATGGCAAACCAAGATAGATGTAGTTGTGCTGCATCTCCATTGAGGGATATTGAGCTTGTGCTTCGGACCATGGGCATTATTGGTTAGGCTTTTATAGGAGTGTCTGTGTTTCAATGCAAAACACACATAAACTTGACATGAGAGAAGCCAAATCTTTACACTGCATTGGACTAGAGGGTGATTGTTTACCTCTATTACTCCCTTAGAGTGGATCTGTTGTTTAAAGAATGTCCCGCAGCAGTTTACTTCAAAACCAGTTTACATTAACAGCTGTGTGTTTGTGTGTACTGTCACACTCCTTCTGTGAGCATCAAACAGAATCAGCTATAAAGTGTCGTAGTCTGATGGATCTGTCGAAGTCAGGCGGTGTGTATTCGGATAGATCACTGTGATCAGATAGATCAGCTGTGAGATGATTCATCTCATGGTTGGAAAGCGAGAAGTGAAGATGACGCTGACTACTGTTTCAGACAGGCAGTTGGAGCCCACGGGCACGTCGTTGGAGGATCTGCTGTAGTTCAGACAAACAGTCACGGCTGAGTGTTCACCAGGCCGACAAACGGAAACTCCCCCTGCAGTCTGGTTCTTTGTACGACTGTCCTCCCATTCACGCTGTTGAGGTCAAACCAGACCGAGGTTAATATCTGGGAGGAGTGATGACGGCCATGATGATTAAGTGATACTGGCGTGACAAGTTTAAAGCATTTTCTCTTTATCAGACAGCGTATTGTCACATTACTGCCATGAGTGGCGCGGCCAGCGTGTCACGCATCTGGTCAGGCAACCTGCCGAATGCACAAACATGACTCCAAAAGCAGACATGAATGGATTCACACATGATAAAGAGCTAAATCTGTTAAGACGTACTGTAATTAAGGTAATCCTTATTAATGCTCTAAGGATTTAGGTCAATGTTACACTAATCTTTATTTTTACTCTCAAAGGTAAACTGATGAATGAGTTTCTGATTCTATAGTGATGAATGTTCTGGTAAAATCAGCAGGGAGTGGTTTGCAAGTGAATGTTTGGCGTGGAGTTTCCACCAGTGAGGGCAGGAGAGGCTGAGGATTTTAACATGATTTGTGTGAAACAACCAGGAAGGATTGGTGAGCTCTAGTTGATGTAAACCAACAATGGGGGTAATTATCGAAGTCAAGATGGCAGGTGTAGATGTGTTTGATTTACCTTAGTGGTCAGAACTTGGACCTGGGAATGAACCAGAGTATGTTGGACTTTCTAATTGTGCTCAGTGACCAAGCTAACTGATACTAGCCAGTTATTCCTGTGCATTAAAAACGGCCTTTACCAATACGGTACTATATGTGACTGAATTACTGAGATAGAAACCAGTGGTGCTTGAAGTGTTTAAAAAGGTGCTGGTACTATTACTACTACTACTACTACTACTACACAACCACCCCTGCACCACATGCACATTTCCCCCACCTGCAGCCAACAATAACCCACTGGATCAGTCAGTTGGGTTCTCTACATATCGATATGATGCTGTACTTTTTGGAGCGCAAGCTAAATAGCGAAGGGGATAATTATTTTGTTATAAAATCTAA